GTGCCTCCTGCCCCCCTTTTACCCCTACCCAGTTTAACACCTGGCCTAGTCAACTCAACGCAGGGTCCAGGGTTCCAGTTTGGTAACAGGGCCGCAGACCCAGACCCACACAACAACGCTCCCCCCGGGCCAAACATCCCTGCCGTTTCTTGAGTCTGGACAGAACGCCTTCCCTCCATGGTCTGTTGATCTGGCCCTGATATGTGTGAGCCCTTCAAGCAGAACAGCCCAGGCAGGACCGAGAGAATGCTCCGTCGATAATGGAACAACGACCACTGGCGCCGTAGCTCTCTTGTCATTTTGGCACACCCCCCCCCCCCGACACTCTTTCGCTCGATTCTCAGATACTTGCTACAACTAACTACTATACCGTACAACACTCCATACTCCTCTTCTGCGATACCAGCACATACTTTGGCCATCTGGCTCGCTCTCTGCTTGCTATTGTTGTTTGGTCCCAAAAGCCAGCGCCGCTGTGCTTTGCTGTGCCTCTGCTCTGCTCTCTTACCCTACCCTACCCTACCCTACCTACCTAGTCGCTCCTTCCTTCCCCTCGCTTGCGCCGCACCTACCTCCTTCCTAGTACCTTGCGATTCGAACCACACAGTCCCCAGTCCATCCACCGTCCACTCGACCGTTGGGAAGGCACACCCCACGTCCGCTCCCTGCAGCAGGCACGACCAGCCCTTGCCTGCCTGCCTGCCTGTTGCCCACCTCCTTCCCTTTTTTGCCCACCCTCTGTTTCTGCCACTGCCTCTACTACCACAGTGCCACTCACACACTCACACACACACACACACTCTCTCTCTCTCTCTCTCTCTCTCTTTGCACATCGCTCTGTAGTAGAAAGGACGAGCAGTCACCACCTCTTCACTGCAAACCCCCCTCCCTCTTTCCCCCTTCTCCCCTCTTCCCCTCCCCCACCTCTTCTCTTCCATCCATTCTTACCTATATACACACATACCATACTTTATACACTCCACACGCCATCGACTGGTTTGCCTTGGACCAGAGACAGACCGCGTCTGAGCTCTCCACTTCCCGCATCGACCACTCTCGTTCGTGTGCCATCTTTGCGTAACAGAAACATCGCCTGTCCCAGTCTTTTCACACAGCCACTACCGTACCTGGAGCACGCTGTTGCACGCTGTGGCACGCTGTTGCACAACCTGCTGCAGGCCGTCAGTCTCAGTCGTTGGACTGGTCCCCAAAGAGGTAATTACATTCACTCCACTATCCATCCCTCATTCACTGTGCATTGCGACACGGCCCGCTGCCAATTCATGGCCGACTCATCAGCAACAACACTTGACCGTCCGTGTGACCTGGTGCTAAAAGTCATGTTGTCGCAAACGGATAGGCCACGCTCCGTGGGTCGCGTCTAACCTGCCCTTTCGCATTCCACGCGGGGGGTCCCTGGTGCCAGCCTCGTCATTCCTCTCTCTCTTAGCTTGAACACAATAATAACACCAACACCAGACTAACATCGCCACTCTGCCGCCCTCCCCTCGTCAAGGCCAATGTCAAAGTCCATAGCCTCCTCTACCTCCACCCCTTCCTACTAGGCGACATCGATTCCAACTCGACAAGACCCAATTCCCCCAATTCCTAAACCACCTGCTGGAACTAGATGCTAGCTGGAACCTCGGCAGACCCCAGATAGCGCGCGCTCCCCCCCGCCTGTCCGGGCTGGAGTACTCCCATCATGTCTTCCCATACGCATACGCAAGACCGTGCGCTGGATCAGGAAGTCACGGAAAGGCGCTCAAGTGCACAGGTGGCGCCCTTGAACATACAGAAATCGCCCAACAAGTCACGAACCGCAGTCTTCGGCCACACCCGTCAGTCTTCGTCGAGAGGCAACCGGTCGAGCCGGTCGCACTCACAAACACAAATCTCTCCACCATTGACGCCTACGACATCCAGCGAAGCAGCCCTTCGGCATCAGCAACCCGCACAACCCGTGTTCCACAACTACCTGCGTGCCTTCTACCACTACAGCCCGACTTCGACGGTGTCTTCCTCGACCGACGAGTCCTCCATCACCGTTGCAATTAAGCAGGGTGATGTCATCTTGGTTCATTCTGTGCATCCCAATGGATGGGCAGATGGAACCTTGTTGGCCTCTGGTGCCCGTGGATGGCTTCCCACAAACTACTGCGAGCCTTATGATCACCCGACGATTCACAACCTCTTGACAGCCTTGACCCATTTGTGGGATCTCGTTCGCGATGGCGAGAATGGAGATCTGGCCGCTTTTACGAGGCAGGATTATGTCAGGGGTATGATTGCTGGTATCCGGGTTTTCCTGGTAAGTCATGGATTCGCCGGCGCTTCCATCCGACGACGGCTGACGATTCCCAGGAAAGAACAGAGTGCCTATCGCGAGAGTCGCGTCTGATTGTCGAACACGTCGGGCTGCGGAGAATGCGCAAAGGTCTGCTGGGAGACCTCTCGACTCTAGTGAAGACGGCCAAGAACCTGCAAGAAACGCTTCAATCGAACGAAGCACCTATGCCCGTGTTTGAGCACATGGATGATCTCGTACTAAAGTCATTTAAGCTTGTCACAAGAGCAGTCCGCTTCCTGGATATTTGGGCTACAGACGCCGTATCCTTGTCCTTGTTTGAGCTAGGCGTTACCGACACGACTCGACCAATGACGCCACCAGCTGACTCCGCCGAGGCTGCCGTGGAACCGCCAACAACGACAACAACACGTCAACAGGGGGATGACGGACTGTCGACGAATGACGCTGGATCCCCAGTCACACAGGGACCCCTGCCTGGGCAAGAGGACTGGTACACCGCTACCCATCAACCAAATCGAAATCTAAATCGCCTTTCCGTGGCATTCTCACTGCCCTCGGAGACGGACTGCTCACTACAGTCACCCACCATCTTTTCGCATCCCCAAAAACGAATCTCAGTGACGCACCGACTGTCATATACGAGCAGGTCACAAAGTCTACAAAAGGGGATTCTGGCTTCGGAACGGCTGAGCGCTGCACAAGATTCATTCTTGGGCAACATCGGGTCGTTTATCGGGTTGCACTTGCAATCTCGTTCTTCAGAAGAGCTGGCCACCATTACCCGGCAGTCAGTCGTTACCTGCCGCTCACTGCTAACGGTTGTGGAAGAAGTATGGGAGCGAGACTCACGCAGATCCCAGCCCCTGGCACAAGCGCGAGACGCCATGTTCGAACGGCTCACGGAGCTGGTACAAGCCACCAAGGATATGTTTGATGTGGTCGATGCTGAAGTGGGTGGGGATGTGGTGGAACCCGAATCCGGGAAACAACTCGTAACCGCCGCCACCAGCTGCGTCCGCGCAGCCGGTGATTGTGTTGCCAAGGCACGAGTTGTGATTGAGAGGATTGGAGATTTTGAATTCGAACAGGTCGGCTTGGGCTTCGCAGATGAGGTTTACCAGCAACTCAACCCAGCAAGTCAGCAGGCAGATGAGCGGCCTGCGTCACCAAGGCCTGCGGAGACGTTTATGGAGACGAACAAGCCCCTTCCTCCACCGCCGACAGAGGAGCATGACTGCCCGCCACCCCTCACCCTATCAGACTCGAAGCCTCTGCCGGACGTACCGCAGCAGTCTTCGCCCGTGGAGGAGACCACAATCAGCATGCAGCCAACGCCTTCCGCTGTCATTGTAGAAAGCCCGACAGCTGCATCCTTCAGATCCTCAAAGTCATCGATGCCGACGCTCCATGCCGTGACCGCTCCGGTGCTTCCTCCGCCGACTGCGTCTGAGATGCTGGACAGCCCCATGAGCACGACCCACGAGAGCTTCGCTAGCTCTACCAAAACCGACAGTGTCAACGTTTCGGTGACCGACTCGAGCAGTAATTACCATTTCAGCATGCGGGAGGGCACTGGCAGTGTCATCTCGCATACCTCGACGAGAGCTACTACCCCAGAGCACTCGCCTTCCAAGAAGCAAAGCTCGCAGACCTTGATGAGCAGCTTTGGCAGCTCCTCTGAGCTGCAATCGATGGCGAGCGAGGACATTGCAGCCGGCGAAGAACACCTGCTTGAGACAACCTATGTGCATGAGCTCATATACAACAAAGATGGTCAGATTTCTGGAGGCTCCTTGCCCGCTCTGGTCGAGCAGCTCACCACGCATGAGTCTACCCCAGATGTCGTCTTTGTTACCGCCTTCTATCTTACCTTCCGCCTCTTCACTACTCCCCTTGAACTTACACAGACTCTGATCGACAGGTTTGATTACATCGGTGACAGTCCAGCTGTGGGCGTCCCTGTTCGGCTTCGGGTCTACAATGTCTTCAAAGGGTGGCTCGAGAGTCACTGGTCAGGCGAGAGCGACGCTGTCGCATTGGGGCTCATTCTCTCGTTCGCCACTGGGAGGTTGCGGACAGCTATGCCAGCCGCTGGCAAACGCCTTGCGGAGCTCACTTCCAAGGTTACCGAAGTTCGCGCCGGCGCCCTTGTTCCCCGTCTGGTTTGCTCGATTGGTAAATCAGGGGCCTCGCATTCAGTCTTCACTTCTGCAGACAACAACGTCCCATCGCCGACAATTACAAAGAGCCAGCTCAACGCTCTACGGGCCAGTAAAGAGGGCAAGGCGCAATGCAGCATTCTAGACTTTGATCCTCTTGAACTAGCGCGACAATTCACCATTATAGAATCGCGACTGTTTTGCGCCATCCAACCAGAAGAGCTTCTTGCCCTCGAATGGACGAAGAAGTGTGATTCCAAGGCACACAACGTCAAGGCCATGTCCACCCTATCAACTGACCTGGCCAATCTCGTCGCGGACACGATTCTTCAGCTCGAGGACGCAAAGAAGCGAGCAGTGATTATCAAACAGTGGATCAAAGTTGCAGGAAAATGCCTAGAGCTCCATAATTATGATTCACTGATGGCCATTATCTGTTCACTCAACTCCTCCATGGTAATGCGCTTGAAAAGGACGTGGGAACTGGTGTCTGCAAAGACCAAGGCCCGTCTGGAAGAGCTCAAGGCCATTACGGACGTTGGACGAAACTATGCCGTCCTCCGCCAGCGGCTGCAAAACCACGTCGCTCCATGCATTCCGTTTGTGGGCATCTACCTCACGGATTTGACGTTTATCGATGTAGGCAATGGCACCACACGTCAGCTTCCAGGAGACTCGGGTCGCGAGGCTGTATCGGTCATCAACTTTGACAAGCACATGAAGACTGCCAAGATCATTGGCCAGTTACAGTCCTTCCAGGTGCCATACCGTCTGGCTGCTATCCCCGAGATGCAGGACTGGATGGAATCCCAAATTCAGAGAGTCCGATGCAGCGATCAGGCCAATGTCACGAGTTATTATCGTCGATCATTACTTTTGGAACCCAGAGAACCCCAACACCCGACTCGAGGTTCACCATCCATCGACAACAGCGCACAAAGTACCTTTAGCAGTGCAGACAGTCGCAACAACTCCAAAGACAAGTTTGATTTCCTGAGCTTCAACTTTACGACGAACAACGTCAAGGGATCGTAACAAGGTCTTGCTTGAATGCGCCGATCGTTTTGGGCCGCGCCCTCTGCATATCAGGGGCCTTGCGGCAGCCTAACAATTTCACATATCACCGAAGGCATTCGGCCATGGACATATATTAATGTTTGTGTTTTTACTGCATCTGTTCCTTTTCGTCACGTCTTGGACACTTATGATACCAATGGTCAATTTTCTCTTTGTTTGCTTTATACCACTGTAGCGATTTTCTATATCCAGGCGTTTTATCAGGGTGGTGACCGCAAACCCGGTCCAGCATTTGTTCTTCATTTTGTACTTGTCGAGAACTTTTCCATGCCAGCCTCGGGCTCGAGCATGTTGGCGTTCATGTTAGAGCAAAATAGTTGCCATTGTGGCCTCGGTGCATTGCGGTGGGAACCAGTCAAAAGCGTCACAGAGATGGCCATGGGAACAGGAAAGGTGTTCTGTTCTTGTACAGTCGTAGTAACATGCACATATGCATGGCGAGAGATGGAAGGATTTCGAACTGATGAATAAAGAATCCATTAAGCAACCAAACCCGTTTCCAACCACATGAACGTATTGAACAAGTATTGTGAGGAATTAATTGTGAATATTCGCAGCTCTATTGTACAGTTTACGTACAAAATCATCTTGACTAGAGTACTGTCCCTGTCCCTGACCCTCGACCCCACTAGGCTTCCACCACAACCCACCAAACTCCCCTCCCTCTTCCCCACACCATCACCACACAACACACAACCACCAAAAAAATGACCCCCCCACCCCCACAAACCCACATCATCGACGTACGTACCCCCGCCGAATTCGCAACCGGCCACCTCACCTCCCCCCTCGCGCCCACGCTCAACATCGAATACCAAGACATTGGCCGCCTCGAGGCCATCGTCTACGCCGCACGCGGCATCCACGTCCAAAAACACGATCACATCTTCTTGTACTGTCGGTCTGGGCGTCGTAGTGCGCTTGCGCTGCGGACGCTGGTGGAGGCGGGGTTTGGGGGGGTGAGGGATTGGGGGGGGTTGGAGGAGGCCGGGAGGGAGTTGGAGGAAGATTC